TTGTCCTACATCAAGGACCTCGTCGAACAAGATGCTAATATGAAGTAAATAGACTTTAATGATAAATTTGAACAACTCGTCGACCGACCACTCACATTCCGCAACCATCCTGCAAGATTTGTACCAAATTGGAGAAAACCTTGTTGAACAAGATGCTAATGTGAAGTAAATGGACTGTTGGAGTGAGATTTCCTACAAGAAGAAATACCTCCACAGACTTGTTGACCGCAATCCTCACGTTCGCCGAATCCTTCTTCGAGATGTCCCAAAATAATCTTCCTCCGCAGTTTGGCGAGCGGGTACCTGCAAAAGATACTCCGACGCTCAAGTCAGTCGATTGATTTCTACTCTTTGGATTCTCTCGGGTTCTCCTCACCTCCTTTGCTCTTTGGCTCCACTCCATCTTTATAGGATTGCATGCTTGGAGAGCAAGTACCACGATCTCTCTCTCATTCCCACTTCCTTAGTGGTCCTCGTAATATGACTGCATGCTTCGGGAACAAGCACCACGTCATACTTTCCTTTCCCACTTCCTCGGTGATCCTCCGTAATGGAGGTGGTTACCTGGACACGTGCGCCTGCTTGTTCCTCGTGGGATTTCCTTACGGTTTACCTTGCATAACACCATCCTTAGGTGACTTGGATTGGCCCATGAGTCAAAACCCAGATTTTATCCTCCCACAATGCCCCCTTTTTCCCTTTTTTACATATGTAAAATAGGGGAAAACTAAGTTTTTCGATCACATGTGGCCTTGAAACTATGCTTTTTGAACCTAGCTAACTTTTAGCATTTCTTACTAAGACCAACATTTGTGGGAGTTGTTTTTCTACGGGTAAACTTACCTTCAGTGAGTTTACCAAAGTCATTGTTTCGTGTGCTTGACTCTCGAAAGCCAAACAGGCTGCTTCTCTTACTTTACGAAAGTCACCTCATAACTTCACATAAAATATGGGCTGACACCATCCACGAAAGCAGACTGATATTTACAAACGAGGATTTACGAACAAAGATCTACGAACGAGGATTTTCGAGGACATTACGAAGGTGGACTGAGGACTGACATTACGAAGGACTGACATTAGGAAAGTGGAATGACACAACGGAAAAGACTGACATTACGAAAGTGGACTGACATTACGAAAGTGGATGACGAAAGATGACTGATATTACGAACTTGGACTAACATTACGGAAGAGGACTGACATTACGAAAGTGGACTGACATTACGGAAGAGGACTGACGTTACGAAAGTGGACTGACGTTACGAAAGTGGATGACGAAAGATGACTGACATTACGAACTTGGACTAACATTACGGAAGATGACTGACATTACGAAAGTGGACTGACATGGCGAAAGTGGATGACGAAAGATGACTGACGTTACACTAACATTACGGAAGAGGACTGACATTGCGAAAGTGGACTGACATGACAAAAGATGACTGACGAAATTTAACTGTGCAGTCTGACATGTCACACTTATGCGTACTATCTATAACTCATTGTCATGTCCCGTCTTACCTTTATACATACATACATATATATATGCATACTTTTGAGGACCTCACGTTCTTGCCAGACTTTTGCACGTTTCCCTATATTTACTTTTGTAGACATCATATCCCGGCCAAATTTTTGCATGTTTTTGCATGCCTTTCTATATGTATATTCGCCTATATATATATATACCCATGTGGACATCATGTCCTGACTCGGGCCTCCAAGCTTGAGATGAATTGCTGGAACCATCACCACTAGCCGAGCCAAATGTGGGAGGAGCCGATTGCCATAGCATGGATCTTGGGGCTGTGCCGAAGATAGTTGGCGAACCACGCCTAGACTTTTTGGGCCTATCTGCCAGAGGACGCTTATCCGACCTGCCTGCAATTCTGGGTACAGGAAGATCACGTGGAGGCGACGTAACGCAGTGAGACGGTGGAATGTCAAAGGGTGGTGAAGCCATCGCAGGAGAATAATTTGAGTCAGAATTTGTGTCCGATTGCCCTGACTCTTCGTCTTCTCCTCCTTCGTCTTCTTCTTCTGAGCCCTCCGTTCGAGAGTCGGCCACAAGTAAGGAAGACTTTGCGCTGAACTGAAGGTCAAGATCGAGAGCGAAGATAGATTTGAGTAGGGGGTCTGGGGGCAACGACCGGTCGACCAAACAGTACGGGAAGTAAATGATGGAGTTGCGGAGAGAGGTGATTTGAGTGAGGGTGTCGGCAACTTCTCTAGAGCTCCATATCTTCCTCGTCACAAACTTCTTTAGCCAGCATTTTCGGTCTTTAGAAATGATCTGTTCGGGACCATCTAATAAAGCTACGAAAGAAATTCACGGTAAGTAAAGTCCGCATATTTATAAAAAAATAATAAAGGTAAATTTATATATACCAGGTTTAGGACCGAAAGCAGAAGGAATAGATAGTTGTGACAGCTCAGGAGCCTTCTAGTTCCCCCAAATCAGAAGATGACGGTTCTTCCAATCTCTGGCTCTCGAAGGGCCCAATGACAAGAATTTCTTACGATATCTAGGTTTAAAATTAAAGAAGCTAGTTTCGCCCTTAATAACCGTCAAGTCAAAGAGATAGAGAAAATCCCTAAAACCTAAGGATACACCTAGCTTCAAACCCAACGCCAGAAAGGTCGACATAATCAAGTAAGAATTTGGGTTCAGCTGCATAGGGTGAGTATTAGTGAAGAATAAGATGAGATGAATCATAGGGTGGAGCGGGAAACTAATGACCTCTAAATGGTCCGGAGACAAAACGGTAGACCCAGCTGGGATACCGAGGCCCGAATACATGTCGGCTCCGGCAGGAAGTGTGCTAAGGTGTATGTCATCTGGAACATGACCTAGGTCACGAGCCTTGACAATTTCGAAGGGTGGTGGAGTACCACCATATTTAGACTAGGGTGTACGTCTCAACATGATAAACGGGTGGGAGACTTACCGGTCAAAATTTGGTTAGATAAGACAGAAGGGGAATTTGTGCTCGTAATGTTTGAAATATTCTCGCAAGAGGAGTTTGAAATGAAAATTACCTGTAAACTAAGAGGTTTCTGGAGCAAGAAATCACAGGCTTGGAGAAAAAACTAAGCAGAAGAAGTGAAGACAAGCAAAGATTGAGAGACACAAGGTAATGACACGCACACGCACATATATATACATATATATATATATATATGAACAGTACGTGCAGAGATCCGCATGTCAGTATGCAGAGATATGCACACATAAGTTGCTCGTAGGTCAGCCTATATATGCCTACGAATCCAAACATATATATGTGTGTATATATATATATATATATATATAGAAAAGCATGCAAAAAAAAAAATAATAATCTGGACAGGACGTGATGTCCACAAGAGTGCATATACATATATATATATACAGAGAGCTTAAGGGAAGGGATCCCCATTTTTTGAAAAAAATGGGGATTAGGTGTGGGGCCCACTTCACATCTAATTTCAACGATCCGAACCGTCTATTTTGTTAGTCTCGATTCATAGATCATCCTTGCAAAATATTAGCTAAATTGGAAATGTTTAAGACATCTAATTGGGTTCAAGAAAATGAACAAATACTTTGTTATATAAGAAAACATGAAATTTGATATTGATAATTAAATAGGCAAATGGTTTCGGATTGAATTGAATTTTTGCAAGGATGATCTATGAATCGAGACTAACAAAATAGACGATTCGGATCGTTGAAATTTGATGTGAAGTGGGCCCCACACCTAATCCCCATTTTTTTCAAAAAATGGGGATCCCTCCCCTTAAGCTCTCTGTATATATATATATATATATATATATATATATATATATATATATATAGAAAAGCATGCAAGAATCTAAACAGGACGTGATGTCCACATGGGTATATATATATAGGCGAATATACATATAGAAAGGCATGCAAAAGCATGCAAAAATTTGGCCGGGACATGATGTCCACAAAAGTAAATATAGGGAAACGTGCAAAAGTCTGGCAAGAACGTGAGGTCCTCAAAAGTATGTATATATATATATGTATGTATGTATAAAGGTAAGACGAGACAGGACAATGAGTTATAGATAGTATGCATAAGTGTGACATGTCAAACTGCACAGTTAAATTTCGTCAGTCCTCTTTCGTCATGTCAGTCCACTTTCGCAATGTCAGTCCTCTTCCGTAATGTTAGTGTAATGTCAGTCATCTTTCGTCATCCACTTTCGCCATGTCAATCCATTTTCGTAATGTCAGTCCTCTTCCGTAATGTTAGTCCAAGTTCGTAATGTCAGTCATCTTTCGTCATCCACTTTCGTAACGTCAGTCCACTTTCGTAATGTCAGTCCTCTTCCGTAATGTTAGTCCAAGTTCGTAATATCAGTCATCTTTCGTCATTCACTTTCGTAACGTCAGTCCACTTTCATAATGTCAGTCCTCTTCCGTAATGTCAGTCCACTTTCGTAATGTCAGTCTTTTCCGTTGTGTCATTCCACTTTCCTAATGTCAGTCCTTCGTAATGTCAGTCCTCAGTCCACTTTCGTAATGTCCTCATAAATCCTCGTTCGTAGATCTTTGTTCGTAAATCCTCGTTTGTAAATATCAGTCTGCTTTCGTGGATGGTGTCAGCCCATATTTTATGTGAAGGTGTGAGGTGACTTTCGTAAAGTAAGCGAAGCAGCCTGTCTGGCTTTCAAGAGTCAAGCACACAAAAAAATGACTTTGGTAAACTCACTGAAGGTAAGTTTACCCGTAAACGTCATACTTTCCTTTCCCACTTCCTCGGTGATCCTCCGTAATGGAGGCGGTTACCTGGACACGTGCGCCTGCTTGTTCCTCGTGGGCTTTCCTTACGGTTTACCTTGCATAACACCATCCTTAGGTAACTTGGATTGGCCCATGAGTCGAAACCCGGATTTTATCCTCCCACATGGACTTTTGACAATAGTTGAATATTTGATGACCAAGCCCACGTGCAAAGCACACGACGACAAAATGACCCAATTTTCCCCATCAGTTCCACATCTTCCTTCTCTTCGCTTCTCACTGGTCGTAGCAGTTTTACCACAACCATGGCTTCTCTAACTTCTCTTCCCCCAACCGGAAACTATATCGTCAATACCCGTTTCAAATCCCGGGTCAAGCCGAATCCGCACGACCAGCTCTTTCTCAATCCCACTCTTTCTTCCGTCCTAAAAATCCAACCTTCTTCTTCCTCCTTCAACCCCACCCCATTCAACCGGCTCTGCACCTCCGCCGTCCACAGCGCCAACAATCCCAGAGTCCGCCGCCGCAACAACGGCTCTTCTCCGTCCCCACCCACAACATCTGGCGCCAATTCCCAGTACAAGACCCAACCTTTACGCAAGTACAACAGGACCCAGCAACCAAATGAACCAAAAGTTGACAGAAATGAATCGAATACCCAAAATGTGAGCGCCCCACTACGTATGAACTCAAAAGATGTGGATTTGATGCGTTTGTGCGAGGAGGGTAAGGTCGGAGAAGCGTTGGAGTTTATGGGTCGAGGTGTTTCCGCCGATTACGGAGTTTTCTGTGCGTTGTTGGAATCGTGTGATGGATCGAAGTCGCTTGAGATTGGGAGGAAGGTCCACGAGTTCATGAGACAGTCGCCGTTTCGCGGGGATATTGAGTTGAACACTAAGTTGGTTCAAATGTATGGGAGGTGTGGGAGTACGAGAGATGCGCGCAAGGTGTTTGATAGAATGCGCGAGCGGAGCATTGGTTTGTGGCATTCGATGATCACTGGGTATGCAGTGAATCGGCAGGGTGACGAGGGGATGCTGTTGTTTGAACAAATGAGGAATTCGGGGTTGGAGCCCGATAAGGAGACTTTTTTAGTGGCGTTGGCAGCGTGTGCTAGTGCGGAAGCTGTAGAAGAAGGGTTCGCCCTCTTCGAATCAATGAAGAATGAGTATGAGATTGTACCGGAGATTGAGCATTATTTAGGACTTATTGATGTTCTTGGGAAGTCTGGTCATTTGAATGAAGTCGAGGAGTTCATTGACAAAATGCCATTTGAGCCTACAGTTGAAGTTTGGGAGGCTCTTAGGAACTCTGCGCGAATTCATGGAGATATTGAACTTGAAGATCGTGCGGAGGAATTGTTGGTTAATATTGATCCTTCTAAGGCCAATGCTGACAAAATCCCATTGCCTCTGCGGAAGAAGCACTCGGAGCTTAACATGCTAGAGGATAAGAATAAGGTGAGTGAGTATCGGAGTACAAACGAGGCGTATGAGAAATTGAAAGGTTTGAAGGGACAGATGAGGGAAGCAGGCTATGTGCCGGATACAAGATACGTGCTTCATGACATTGATCAGGAGGCAAAAGAGCAAGCCTTGCAGTATCATAGTGAGCGTTTGGCAATTGCTTACGGTCTGATTAGTACTCCAGCCAGGCAAACTCTGAGGATAATTAAGAATCTTCGAATCTGTGGCGACTGCCATAATGCGATAAAAATCATGTCGAAGATTGTTGGGAGGGAGCTGATCGTTAGGGATAACAAGCGGTTCCATCATTTCAGGGATGGGAAGTGCACCTGTGGGGATTACTGGTAAACTTATCCGCAGTTAGTTGATAAAGCTTTCAAGAGACAAGGCTGTGGTGCAAAGTTAAGTAATGTTGAATGCTCTGCAGCAAGAAAATTCAGAGTAAGTTTTTTGGCTGGAAATTAACTTTGTCAAAATTTATGAGTGTCGTTCGTTGTAGATTATTCTAGTACTTAAATTCATTCACACTTAATAGAAAACAAATAAACAAGATGTTTTGTTTACTCGATTAATTCTATGTTTTATTTCTGAAAGCATGTGTCTGGTGCCGTGTATGATTCATTTCCTTTGTTTTATCCTGGAAAAGAAGAAAGAAAAAGTGGCAACTGCTAATGGGGACTGCAAATAGTGAAGAATCATGTATAGAATGAATTCCTTTTTCGCCCGAAAAATGGGAAAAATGGAATCTGGTTCTATGGCAGTGGTGAATAATTGTGAAACATTGATTCGGTGCAATTCGAGTTTCTAGAACCAGTATCTTCAAGCGAAAAGATAGTAAGATGAATCACAAAAGTAAGATCATAAGTATACATTGCCCTGTTTGGATACCTCTTGTACAAAGTAGTCTAATCGACGATTTCTCCTACCTTAAATCGGTGGAACTAGAGCTTCTACAATGTCTAAGGGAAGGGTTTAACCTACAGATGGACTATTATTCAGCTTCAAAGAATGAAATGTACAGCTGAAAATGGTATGGTTGGTACAAGAAGTCAACCTAATTCACGATTTAGAAGGGAAGAAAAGCTCCGAATCATTGTGTAGGACTTCTGTTTGAAGTTAAAATTCCGAAAGAAAATGTAACTAGGAGTCAAGGGAGGATGGATGGGTACTTCTTTTGTTGGTTACCACTTTTCTCACAACTTCAGCTTCGTCCCTTGATGGAACTCGAAGGCAGGACTTCATTATATCGTAAACTGTGAACCCGATCGCCACAGATGGTACGACCTGAATTACACATACAAAAAACGTGATTAGACACGAAAGACAATGGGAAGTTTGAAAAGAATGACTAGGTTCTTTACCACCTTCAAGTAATTGATGCTAAGTCCTGAAAACAATTGCTTCCATCCTTGCTTTTGAGCGATCATAACGAGGGTTTCGATTGTTCCCTTCATCTCTGGACTGCTTGATACCATAATTCGTTGAACCTGTTTGTAGGATTTTCGCCCATTAATGTCACAAATTCTTTTATTTCAAACATTATTTTGAGGACCATTGAAAAGCAAATTACCTGCATCTGCCTCCTCACCACATCAAGGGGATACGTAAAAGTCTGGCCTAATACACCAGCAACAGAACCACATACGAGTTTGAACACAATACTCTTCTTGTGCTCCGGAGGGACATGGCGCTTCATCTCCTCGTAGAAGTAAAACTTCAAACCGGCATATGGGAAGATCCCATAAAGCGACGGAGCTGATAATAATGTTAACGCATTAAATGCAGAATCCTTACAAAGATCACAAAAACTGTAGAAACACACAAGGACAGCAGTGGATGAAACAAGCAGTTTTCAAATTCCTACCAACGCCACGGTAGAGGCCTCTAAGTCCAGCCTCTCTGTACGTCATTGAGAAACAATCGAGAATTCCTTTATATATTTGTTGAGAATTCAGTACCCCTTGAACATTTAACTTCTGTGAACCGACAACCTGCAGAAAAGTAAAAAAGACGTGGCTGGACTCAAAAAAACGTTTTCTGGGGTGTAAGAACAACCAACTCCTCCACTTGGGGGAGGTTTGTCAGGATCCAATTAATTACCTGATAGGCCAACTTTGTCCGAACCAAATCAAGGGGATAAGTAAAAAGCACAGCTGTTCCTCCAGCAAAAGATCCTGCCACAAGATCAAGACCAGGTCCCCGCCCAACGTCAGGAAAGGTGAGAATAATCCATCTGCGGTATTGTTCATAGGTCATATAATGCAGGGCTGCATATGGAACAATTCTTGCAACACTAGCTCCATTTCCCCTGTACGAAAATTAGTTAGTTGATCAAAAACTTGAAAACAACCTTCACATAAATGACTCATTACTCGAGTATCCACCTGTAGAAACCCATAGGCCCTTCTGTCTTTGCAATTTTCTTAACGGATCCAAAAAGTCCGATGCTCTGGTATTCTGCTCTTCTGGTCTGCAAAAGATAAACAAATAAGCTATCACATGTATTTATCGACGACAACTTACTTATTGGTAAGTCCAATTAAAGTTTGCAACTTGTTTCTGATTGCCATGTGAAAGAAGAGGGAATATCTTAACTTCAATTTCCCACCTCAGGGAAGAACACAAAAATCCGAACCACAAAACTTGCAATCGAAATTAACATATGTACTAAATACAAGTTCTCTTCTTTTGTCTTCGTTTTCGGATAGGGGAAGGAGAACTGAATGGCATGCATGTACCCACAAGTTATCCGAAAACCTTACAGTGTGTACTGACCATGGAAAAAAAAAACAAGTATCGGTAAAACAAGCCCTCGAATCAATTTATTTGATCACATTGTTACTCAATCGAAGCAAACAGCCAAGAGAAACCCATTTGCACAAACCATTCAATTTTGTACTACTTCACTCAAAAGCAATCATCTTTCATCAAAACTCAAACTACCCAATGAACAAATCCAAGAAACTTAAACACCCAATAGACTAAAACTAAAAATGCATTACTAATCTCTACAGTTCCCAAAATCAAGAAGCAAAAGTTTCAGTAACTTCCCCGGCAAAAAGAAGGGAAGAACCAAATTGATGTTCAAATCTCCAGAAGAATTTAACGCAATTGTCACCTGAAACAAAATCTTGATGCGCTCGAGTGGCGCAACCACTGTTTTTGCAACCCCGCCGGCGACGCCACCGGCGATCAGCTCCTTGGCGAACACAGGCATGGACTCTATCATCCCGTCCAGGTACACGTTCATCTCTCTCTCTTCCCTCTTCTCTGACATTGTAGCAAACTTGAAGAGAGAGAGAGACAGAGAGAGAGAGAGAGAGAGAGACAGAGAGATTCTGGGTTTGTGATTGAAGGAAGAGTTGGAGCAGAGAGGAAGGAATGGGTTGAAGAATCGAAACGTCTCCTTTTGTGCTGTGGATTTTATATGTATCGGGTGAAGAAGAAAACGTTTCTTCGAGTCAGAGAAGTACACAATTGACTTAAAGATTCCCCTTTTTTTAATGTAAGAGAGAGAGAAAGAGATAGAGAAGAATTATTGGGTGCGGAGTTTTTGTTCAGCTGCTTTCAGTTCTATTTTATTTTTTTAGATCAGGACCGTCCAATTAGTGGGCTAGTTTTGAATCATGGCCCTTTGACGATAGTACTTGGGCACTCAAAAGAGTTCGATGTAGTGGAAGGATTGACAAACATCAAATTTAACAAAAGTGGTAAAGCCTAGTTAAAGCATTTATTTTATAAAACATTAAATTATGATTAAATTAGTAAAGAACTTGTAATTTAATTGAGTAAGAGCATTTACTTAAGTGGCGGCGTTCAACTTCCCTCTTGTCATGATCAATTGGATTCATTGCTGCACCTTGTCCCTCAAATTCTCAATTTATGTGAATGGTGAATTGACCAGATTTTTTGCTAGTAAGAGAGGTTTGAGACAAGGGAATCCTTTGTCCCCTTACCTTTTCATTATTGCTATGGAGGAGCTTTTTTTATTAATTACCTCTAATATAAATGTTAGCCTTTCTTTCAAATACTATTGGCGTTGTGAGCAGTCCAGTTTGCTCATATTTGTTTTGTTGATGAACTCTTTATGTTTCGTGGAAGGGATTATCATTCAGCTAAGATCTTGAAGGTCTCTTTATGCGGCTTTAATTCTTTGTTTGGTCTTAATGCCAACCCAACAAAAAGCTCAATTTTTCTTGCGGGTGTGGATGAGATGATCTTCTAGAATTATGCTTCTTTTCAATTTTGCCATAGGAATGTTGCCTATTCGCTACCTTGGTGTGCCTCTCATTTCAACAAAGCTTAATTTGCAAGATTGCTCCATTCTTACCGAGCGCGTTGAGGCTAGAATTAGAGTTTCAAGAGAACAAGGTCCTCTCTTTTGCCGATCATTTACAACTTGTTCAATCTGTTCTCTGTAGTATGCAAGTTCTTTGGGCCTCACACCTCATGCTCCCTAAGAAAGTCTCTGCAATATTGATCAAAGGGTCCAAAAATTCTTATGGTATGGTAAGCTTTCTAGTCATTAAGTTGCCAAAGTTGCTTGGGATGATGCGTGTCTTCCTAAATATGAAGGAGGTCTTGGGATTAAAAAATTGATTGACTGGAATAAAGCGCTTATGATTAAACACATCTAGAGCTTGCTCATCGATGAAGACAATATTTGGTCTATCTAGGCTAGAATCTATGTTTTGAGAAATATGAACTTTTGGCAGATTAAGACCCTCCAAAATTGCTTGTGGAATTGGAGGAAGCTTCTCCGATTGAGAGATTATGTTCGGCTTTTCTTTTTTCCACAAAATTGGAGATGGTAGGGGAACATCTCTTTGGTATGATAATTGGCATCCTTTAGGTTCTCATGTTGTCAATTAGGGTTGCCATTTCATTGCTAATTCCAGGCTTCCAAAAACTGCTTTGGTTTGCAATATTTTGCATGGTTCTAATTGGTACTGGTCTAATAATTCTTCTCATGAGTTGTTGGAAATTCAAATTTCTATGTCTAATATTGTGCCAAATCCTAGCTTGGGTGATATGATTCGATGGACTCCTTCATTGTCTGGCATCTACTCTGCTGCTTCTGCTTGGGATAAGTTTCAGCAATCCAAGCCTACGATAGGTTGGTCTAAGCTTGTTTGGTATAATCCAAATATTCTCAGGATGAGAATGAAAACTTTTTACTATGGATAGAATTTTGACCTTCGCTCCGTCGATTCCTGTCATTTGCGTACTCTGCTCTATTGCTACAGAGTCCTATTGACACCTCTTCTTTGAGTGTCTTTTTACCAATGGTATTTGGTCTTCGATGCTATTCAAGTTCGGTGTCCCTTGGCCTCTTTTTGTCATGTGAGCTACTAGTTGTTGCAAGGGAAAATCTCTATCATCGATAGTTTTGAAGTTAAGTCATGCTAATATGTATTATGTTTGGAGGGAGCGGAACAACCGTAGATTTAAGAACTCATGTCAACCGGCTGCGGTAGTTCTCAACTCAATTAAGTCCACCATTAGACTTTGATTGAGTTCTTTGAAAATCACTCATTCCGCTGCTAATGACTATACTTTATGGGAAATGAATATAACTATGAATAGTTAGTGT